AAATATATGTGAAAAATTTATTTGTCAATAAATAACTTTTTTAACAGAAAAATTCAAAACTATAATTCTTCCCAAAACTAAGTTTATTCGCTACATTTATTCAAGCTCTTTAGATTGTTTAAAAATAAATTTTGGCAACTTATTACATTTTCTACTGTTATAATATCTCAGCAAGCCTTCCCAGGAAAAGCGCGTGGCTTTTCGTCTTGTATGTCCAAGCACAAGTATTTTATTTTAGACAACTTGGTCACAGCCGGTTTTTTGCAGTGTTGCGGATAAAACTAAGTTTCAAGAAATTAAATAAATTTAAATATAAAAAAATTATTAGATTAAATAATTTCTGTACTATTTTTTTTTGTTTCTTTAGTTGTTATTTTCAGCAATAAAATTGGAAAAAGTAAAAACAATATTTTTAAGTCGACATTAAAAGGAATAATTTTTCCAATATTTTATTTGTTTCCAATATTTTATTTGTTTTTTTTTAAAGAGGAAAGCAAAAATACAAATTGCTATTTTTTGTAAAATATATTTGTATAATTTTAATTTAAGTATATAATGTCCCTATATAAATTTATGATTTAAGAAGTATATAATGTCCCAAAATTTATGATTTTTTTTTGTATGACTTTAAACATTTTTAGCGATTTAGCACTTTTAAGAACGGTATCAACATTTCAACCTACGTTCTTTTACAAAAGTTACAATAAACAAGGCTGTTATTATTCAAAACTAAGATCTAACAATAATAAAAACTATAATAATTGGAATTTTAATGACTAGGAAACAACCCACCTTAGACATCATAAATCTTTGACAACTTTTTTCTAAATATTTTAAAAATAATGCAAAAAAGGTTTTACAAAAAAATTAACTAATTTTAAAATCTAAACTTCCGTCTTGAAAGTTTAAGAGTTAAGTCTTAAAAACTGACTAAAAAATGTGCTAAAAAATAAAAATAAAAATTTAAAAGTTAACTTTTTGGTGGGAGGCATATTTTTTGTGTGATCAAAGCTTACCATTATAATTATGCACACTATTAGGGTAATATAATGTTATATTGATTTTGTTATTAAATTAAAAATATACTAAATACTTTCAAAAATATTTAGGTTATTAAATGACCTTAATTTTTGAATCAAATTTTTAATATTTCTAAAAATAAAAATCATAACAAAATATTTTTGGTACTATTGTTAAGCTGTGTTTCTACTTTTTGCAATAAACAAATAAAATAAAATTATTGTATTTAAAATCATCGATTGAACGATGGAAGAACATACACTAGCCATATTTTATCAATTATCGATATCAGTTGCTCAGATTTTGAAGTGCCTACTTATACCATTTAAACCTTTAAGTTAAGTGTATTTTCTAAGTAAGGCATACAAATAAATATACATAGTTTTTAAGCTTCAATTAGGCCATGCTGTCTGCACATTTTTCACATAGCCTTAATTGTTTCACTTTACATTTCTATTCTTGTACATTTTTTCTTCACAACCTTTTAGTCCTTTGTATATATATGTATATATATATATTATATATATATATATATATATATATATATATATATATATATATATATATATATATATATATATATATATATATATATATATATATACATATATACATATTTATATACATATACATATATATATATACATATATATATATATATATATATATGTATATATATATATATATATACACAATCTTTAATATATATATATATATATATATATATATACACAATCTTTAATATATATATATATATATAAAATCACTAAAAGATTGTATATATATATATATATATATATATATATATATATATATATATATATATATATATATATATATATATATATATATATATATATATATATATATATATATATATATATATATATATATATATATATATATATATATATATATATAATCTTTAAAAGTCATTTTCTTGTTATACGATAATAATAAAATATATAAAATTCAATAAAAACGGCTGCGTATAAACTTTTTAAAAATACATATTTTTTTTATTTTAATATATATATATATATATATATATATATATATATATATATATATATATATATATATATATATATATATATATATATATATATATATATACATATATATATATATATATATATTTTTCGATATTTCGCTGATCTATTGTGATCAGCGTCATCAGGTGTAATAAATAAAAATCGTTACAAAGAAAATTGTTGTAATAAAAACTAACCGTTAAAAAGATAACATTAAAAAGAGCATAACAAAATACAAAATAGCTTTAAATGTTGACGTCAAATAATCTAACAAAAAATGGCCCCCAAGTTTTTGTCGTCACGTAATCACCATCATCCCTATTTAAAACTTTTTATCACTTCCAAGTTTTTGTTGAACTTTAGCTCTGTTTACTTCAAGTGACTCTCGAATTTTCCGAATATGATACTCTGGAGCGATTGATATGGTTTTGGGATGTAACCAATCAAATGTACCCTGGCATGATTTGGAATGTTCGGTAGCACCTGAACTGGCCCATTTTCCTTTAACACTATTTTTCTGGTGTTCAATACATCTCAATATAACTTTCTTTTTAGTTTCTCCAATGTATATAGAATTGCATGAACATTATAGTTGGTAGACGCTTGGGCTTGTATTTGGAGGAAGTTTTGTCTTATTGTTGCATAAAATATTGTTTAAATTTGGAGCGGATGTAAATATAACTTTTATGTTTTGTTTTCTAAGTTCCTTTCTAAGTTTGGGACCAACTTTCCGACCAAAGTTCCTTTCTAAGTTTGGGACCATTGGTATCCATGGTAGTTTTATAAATGGTTGGTTGTCAGTTGGTTTATAATTGGTATTTTTTATTTTGTTTTTTAGAAAGTTTCTGACGATATTAATTAGATTGTTCTTGTTGTGCCCGTTTTCAACAAACATTTCTATTAGAAAATCAATTTCTTGTTTGAGATATTTTTGAGAGCATAATCTCTTTGCACGACATAAAAACCCTTTGAATATGCCAGTGATAATATAAGAATTGATGTTTGAGTTAGGTTTTAGTTGAATATTAGTTATTGCTTCTTTTCGATGTATTTAAAATTCATAAGCTAAAATGTTCATGCAATTCTATATACATTGAAGAAACTAAGAAGAAAGTTATATCGAGATGTATTGAACACCAGAAAAATAGTGTTAAAGGAAAATGGGCCAGTTCAGGTGCTACCGAACATTCCAAATCATGCCAGGGTACATTTGATTGGTTACATCCCAAAACCATATCAATCGCTTCAGAGTATCATATTCGGAAAATTCGAGAGTCACTCGAAGTAAACAGAGCCAAAGTTTGACAAAAACTTGGAAGTGATAAAAAGTTTTAAATAGAGATGATGGTGATTACGTGAAGACAAAAACTTGGGGGCCATCTTTTGTTAGATTATTTGACGTCAACATTTAAAGCTATTTTGTATTTTGTTATGCTCTTTTTAATGTTATCATTTTAATGGTTAGTTTTTATTACAACAATTTTCTTTGTAACGATTTTTATTTATTACACCTGATTACGCTGATCACAATAGATCAGCAAAATATTGAAAAAAATATATATATATATATATATATATATATATATATATCAAAATAAAAACAAATATGTATTTTTAAAAAGTTTATACGCAGCCGTTTTTATTGAATTTTACATATTTTATATATATATATATAATATATATATATATATATATATATATATATATATATATATACTACAATCTTTTAGCGCTTTGTAATTTTTAATACCTGTTGCTTTTTAACATTTGGCTCAGTTTGCTTAGTTCTACCCACCCTCTCCCTTTTGGTCTACTATGTTATTGGTGAACAATTAGTAATAATAATAACTATTATTATTATTATTAATTGTCATGCAATTATTAATAATAACTATTAATAATTGTTTACATATATTTCACTAATAACATAGTAGACCAAAAGGGAGGAGAAACATGAAAATAATTTGTGAAGTAGTGGAGTTCGAACCTCGACACTAAGTGTACGAAGTAAACGCCTTATCCAAATAAGTTAAATTTGTGTATGGCTAAGAGCCATAAAAATATAATTATATAAAAATATAATTATATAATAAAATAAGTTATAGATAAAAGTATACACATGCATTACATAGACATTCATATAAGACATTATATAGTTGTTATATTAAAATTATACAAATATATTTTACAAACAGATAGCAATTTATATTTTCGTTTTCCTTTTTAAAAAAAACAAATAAAATACAGGAAAATTATTCTTTTTCATGTCAACTTAAAACTATATATATATATTTTTTGATTTGTCTTATCCAATTTCGTTGCTAAAAATAACAACCACACTAAAGAAACAAAAATTAAAGCAGTACACAAATTATTTACACTATTAATTTTTTTATTTTGTTAGTTTTGCTTTCTTTGTTTTTGAAACTTTGTTTTTTTTGTAACGCCTAATATAACAAAATTTGCAAACGACCATGACCAGGTTGTTTAAAATAAAATACTCATGCGTGGACATACAAGATGAAAAACTGCATGCATTTCCTGAAAAGGCTTGCTCAGTATAATTTGTATCATGTATATATATATTGATCTTACAGCAAATATGTATTATATACATGTTTTATATTTATATATATATATATATATATATATATATATATATATATATATATATATATATATATATATATATATATATATATATATATATATATATACATATATATATATATATATATATATATATATATATATATATATATAGTAGTAGTAGTAGTAGTAGTAGTAGTAGTAGTAGTAGTAGTAGTAGTAGTAGTAGTAGTATATATTTGTTACAAAAAATGTAAAGACAATTGACAGAGTACAAATGTAGATTGTCAAACCATAGATAACATTTGTGAAGTATATCATTAATATTATATATTCTTTATATTGTTATAAACATACCTCCATATCAACAAACATGATAGCATCATTAATTGTTGCAACAGAAACACAGCCACTCCCATTTAATAAAGTATAATTTTCGAAGGCTCTCATGAGATGAAGAGATTCTGCATCCCAAAAAAAAATTTAAAAAACATTTTGTTTCAAAATTAAAACAGTGATTTATTTTACTAAAAATAAATATTTATATTACTAAAAAATTAATATTAGGAAAAGAAAAAATATATTTAGTACTAAATCGCTTACTTAATAATTTCTCAGAACCACCCTTTAAGAGATAGTAAAATATGTGAAAATTTCTTTCACCTGATGCTTGTTGAATAACACGAGACTATTAAAACAATAAATCTTTACACAATATTTTGACTTACTTAGTCTTACTTGATACAGAAAGATTTTTCTTAATTACAAAAGATTACTATCATCACTAGAAAACTTTAATTAAATTTTTATCAAGCTGTGCATTGTTAAGGCATGTAGAAACAAGTCTCATATTTTTCTCTTACTAATTTTGAACTTGACTATGCAAAAAAAAATAATAATCAAACTATTGGACAACTATAAAAACATTTTTTGCTAATGCTTTTAAATAACAAACTTTATATATAAATAAACTTTATAATTAAAAAATTAAAGAAAGGAAATTTAGTAATAACTCACCTTTTCAAGTAAATCTGAAAGTGAAAAAAAATATAAAATTTAAACTTTGTTAAAAATTTTTTAGATATTGAACAATTCAAGGCAATGAAAACCACACTGCCAGTAAAAAACATACAATTCAACCAATGAAAACCATACTGCCATTAAACAACATACAATTCAACCAATGAAAACCACACTGCCAGTAAACAACATTCAATTCAACCAATGAAAACCACACTGCCAGTAAACAACATACAATTCAACCAATGAAAACCACACTGCCAGTAAACAACATTCAATTCAAGCCAATGAAAACCACACTGCTAGTAAACAATATACAATTCAAACCAATAAAAACCACATGCCAGTAAACAACATACAATTCAAGCTAATGAAAACCACACTGCCAGTAAAAAATAAATAAATTCTTACAATTTGTAATGACACCACCAATAGGATAACCTTTGAAATCAAATTCTAAATCCATATACTTTCCCTATATTAAAAAGGAAAATTACACTTATTTTAAAATACAAGAATATATGACAACAACAAGATAAGAGAGATAATGATTTTTCATATTCCGAATTAGTGAGGTTATGATTTACAAAAATTAAAAAAATAAAAATTTAAAAGTTTTACTAACAAATCTGCTGGAGTTATCATTTCTTGTTGTCTTAGCATTTCCAAAAGCTGTTCAAAAAAAACAAACAGATTAAATAAAATAATTAAAAAAATATATATTTTCAATAATATAATAATAAAATAGCAGTTATATATAGTTTACAGAAAATATGTTATATGTTAACACATTTTGTTTTTAAAGATGCATAATATTGTTTCTACTAAAAAAAAAAAATAGTGTTTCCTTTGAGATTTTTTCAAAATAAAAAAATATTTTCAAGTTTTTACAAATTCAATTAACTTCTTTATTTAAAATCACGACTAAAAAAAAAATAATATATATAAAAAATAAACTAAAATAAGTACTTCCTAAAATAAAAAAAAATAAACATAAAGTTTTTTACTAAAAGTAAAAAACTTTATGTTTATTTTTACATATAAAAACCCAATATTTTGTGTTTTCTTTTTGTAAAAAAAATAAAACCTTCTAACACAGGATTTGATTGGAGTAGCTGTTCTTTAACATGTTCTACTCGCGCTTCATGGACTGACACTGATGCCACATATCTCATCACAACTTTGGATGCCTCTTTAAAATAGTTTAAAATCTCATTATATTTATTCAAATTTCAATAAATGTAAATAGTTTTTTTAGCAGTTACCAGTTTTTCCAGAGCCGCTCTCCCCAGATATAATAATACATTGATCTCGATTATAATCTCTCATATTACAATAAGCATCGTCTGCCAAAGAATATCTATCAACAAAAAAACATTTTATTTTTTTTAATTTTATATTGCAAATTAACTTTAAACTAATTGCTCAAAAAATAAAACAGAAAAATTTGCATACACATGTGGAGGGCACTCAAACACATTTTTTGTTCGATATTCAGAGATAACATCTTCAGAATATATATTCAATAACTTATAAGGATTTACAGAAACCACAACATCTCCAATATAAGTCTAAAGAAAATTGAAAAGTAATTTTAATAAAATGGTTTAGTCAATTACTTTTTTAATTAGATACCTAAAAAAATTTGAAATTATAATCATTATTTTTATTGGTTAATCATGCTTTGCTATTGTTTAGGTACCTTAAAAAACTATTTTATTTCTAATGGTGGATTAAAATAAAGTGCCATGTCAATTTATTTATTTTTTAAAAAATTGCAGGAAACCTTCTGCAAGTTTTACCATGAGTGAAAGTCCTAATAGACCTAAATCTATTATTTAAAAGTTATTTTTATGAAATGAAGAAGTTCACAAGCATTGTTAGTTTATTTAAATTTAAGAAGAGCTCTAACTTATACAAAAGAAATTTTGTGGCCTCTTCCAGAGGGATTGATGAGTTGACTGAGATCTCTTCCAGAGGGATGAGTATAAATTGAAAAAGTTTTAAGACACCTGCATTTCATTATTTGAATATATTCCATAGTATAACCAGTTTTTAGAAAAGTTGACAAACTTTTTAACTTTGTTTTATCTTTATATAAAATTGGTCGTAATATATTTACTAAATATTGTAATATTCCATAACTTGGTGTCTCAATTGTTTGTGCTCTTTAATTACACTATCATAAGTGGTAGTATTGGGTCGTTTGGGAATAGACTTTCATATTATTTTTTGGTAAACCTCCCTTTTTATTCTATTTTTATACTTAAGTCTATACCCAAGTGACAAAATACCTCTTGGGTATAGACTATCTTTATTCTAATTGATCCTCAGAAATAAAATCATTTTTCAGGTATGCAAATGAAAGCCACACAAGATTTACAATAAAAATAATGCTACACATTTTTATTAAATATTAAACAGTCAACTCATTGCCATTAAATACACAATCAAATTGGAAATTGATAACAAGATTAAATTTTTTAGATATCCAAATAACCGAAAATCAAAAAGGTATTTATGATTTTAATATAGATCAAAAAGAATCAATAACAAATATTCATATTAAGCACAATTCAAACCATGATCCAAAAATCTTAGAAGGAATCTTTAAGGGATTTATCCATAAAGCTTTATTAATTCGCTCTGAAAATTGTAAATAATTGTAAATCGATTTCATAATAGATTTATTTGTAGAAATAGATATAACAAGAAAAAATAGTTGTAATAACATCTATATATAGTTGTAATAACATCTATGTAATTTTTGTTAAAAATTGCATAGTTGTAATAACATAGTTGTAAAAACATGACACTAATGAAATAGTTTCATTTAACAACAAAATAACCATGCCAACTATATCACTACTGTGGATCCCAATATTATCATCAAAACTTCATAAAATCTTCATAAATGCAGGTTACAAGACAGTTTTTAAATATAGTGCAAATCTTAAACTTTTGTTAACTTTGCACAACAAAACAAAAATATCATTAAATAGCTTTCCCGGAGTATACCTAATAGAATGAGAGTGTAAACAAAAATACACTTGCGAAACAAAAATAGCAACAAGAACAAATCAACACCAAAAAATGTATTAGGAGAGAAATGGGACCAATCTGCATATGAGCATCATAAAAACAAATGTCCAAACAATATAAAATGCAAGTAAAAACGTTAAAAATAAAAACTAAAAAAGTTTGAAAGAAAAGTTTGAGAAATCAATTGAAATTCAGTATAACAAATGCAGACCTATAAAGTGAGGTATGAATGAGACAATGGTCAATATGCAAAAACACAATTCTGGACGCCAAATTTTTTATACATGCTTAACATTAAAGAAGCCGATTTAGAGCGAACTTTAAGAAAGCCATTAAAAAGTTACAATTTGTTTGTAATTAACAGGACTACCAAGTCCCGAGACATGTTGTGTTCATATTAAAGAGAATGTTAAAAAAAAACGTCTGAGCAATTTTTTTTTGATTAAAACTAATTAATAAATGTATACCAAGAAAAACAAATCTTGTTGTTTTAGTCGAAGCTCGTCTTCTCCGTTTTCTCTGGTATTTTGAGTATGTAAAATAAACGCGATTTTCCAGGCGCATTATACAGACTTGATAATTTATTCAAGCGCGTTTAATTCATAGGAGTTTTAGAGCATGACGTCATTGGAAACATTCTAGAAATTCTTTTAAAAATTTTACTATTAAATTGTACTCAAATAACTAACTATAGTTACTTATTTTATTAAAAGTTTATTTTATTAATTGTTCGTTAGTTTTTTACAAATCTAACGAACAACTAATTAAACCAAGCACTAAGAAAAGATATAAAAATTAAGAATATACTAATAAAATATATAATTTGTAATTAACTTTCAAAACTTTGACAATTTAAAATATATATATTATAAAACATTTATTTTTGTAAAAAAATGATAATAGTTTAAAAGCTTTACGGCTTTACAGATGTGGCTCCGTGAATGAGCCATAATATTAAAGTAAAAGTTCATTTGATAATATATTCTTAAAAAAATTTATGCTAGATATCTCAAAACGCAACAAATAGTAAATAATACAATTACTAAAACATTTCAACAGAATACTCTAGAACTTTATTTCGCTTAGTCAGCGTTTTTTTGAACCAATAGAATTAGTTTGTTTGCAAATTTGGCGGGTTTTTAGTGTTCGTGAATATTCTTTTTATTCTTCCGCAAGATGTAGATAAGAACATTAAAGTTAATTATGTTTCCATATATGTCTGTAAAATAAAAAAATTAATATATATTAATTTTTTAATTTTTAAGCCCCCGCCATAATATATATTGGATGTTATAATGGAAATATAACAAAAAAAAACAACAAGATTTGTTTTTCTTGGTATACATTTATTAATTAGTTTTAATCAAAAAAAATTTGCTCAGACATTTTTTTTTAACTTCTCTTTAATATGAACACAACATGTCTCGGGACATGTCCCTTAAACGCAATTAATATTTTGTAACTGATGATGAAAATATTAAAAATCTAGCAAAATTTCTTAAATTAAGAAAAAATATAATTATTTATTGATGTTCACATATATATATATTATATATATATATATATATATAGATATATATATATATATATATATATATATATTATATATATATATATATATATATATATATATATATATATATATTTGTTGTAACAAATATATACTAGTATATATTTGTTACAACAAATGTAAAGACAATTGACAGAATACAAATGTAGATTGTCAAATCATAGATAACATTTGTGAAGCTCATAATGCAACTACCATCAAAGGGAATTGCGAGCTGTTGTAACTTTGAAGCTTATCAAGTCTCGCTTTAAAGTTGTTGACAGATGAAGAGTAGACTACATTATCTGGCAAGCTGTTCCATGTGTTGGCAATTCGGTTATTAAAAAAATTAAAACGAGTTAAATTGTTGTTATATTTTTCCCGGTGAAATCTCTCTCTGTGATTAGCTCTCGGCGGAATTGTAATTGGAGGAAAATGCCAATTAATTATGTCAATGTTTTACTTAATTTTAAATTTCTGAATGAGGTCACCTTGTTTACGGCGGTCAATTAGAGATGTGAGGCCAAGTTTTTCACATCTAGACTGATAGTTTAAATTTCTCAATTTGTGCAGTATCTTTATGGCTCTGTGTTGTATTTTCTCAATAACTTGCTCGTCTTTCACCAAATGAGGGTTCCAAGCTGGGATAGCAAATTCAAGTAGAGGACGGACATAGGTGGAGTATAGTTGTTTCCACAGAGAAGCATCACGACATTGGAAGGTATGTTTTAAAATACCAAGCATTTGGTTTGCTTTACATGATGCGATGATGGATTGGCTTTCCACTTTAAGATCATTAGTAATTTGGATTCCCAAGTCACGTTCAGAGGTGGTTTTTTCCAAATTTGTTCGCGTCACTATCGAATTAGAGCCAGTTTCTTTCATTGAGTACTCGAAGGGAATTGAATTCTTTTGACTAAAGTGCATGACTTTGCATTTTTTTACGTTTAACTCCATGAGCCAAGACTTGCTCCAAAGAACAATTTCATCAATGTCTGATTGCAGTTGAAGCTGAGCTGCAAGTGTATTGACAACGCTGAGGATTTTAGTGTCATCAGCATAGATTTTACAAATGTTTTTTTTGCTTATGACATCTGGTAGGTCATTGATGTAAATGACAAATAAAACTGGACCCAAGACTGAACCTTGCGGAACACCACTAGTCACTGGTAACCAATTCGACTGAGTGTTACCAAGGATAACTAGTTGAGATCTGTTGGTTAAGAAAGCTTTAATCCAATTAAGAAAATTTCCTTTGATTCCATACATTTTTAGTTTATAGAGCAACCGTTGATGTGGTACTTTGTCAAATGCTTTGGCAAAATCCAGGAATACGACATCAACTGGTAGTTTTCTGGCCATGTTCGCGGTCAAAAAGTCCATTGTTTCAAGCAGATTTGCGACGCATGCCTTTTTCTCTACAAAGCCATGTTGACAATTTGAAAGAAGGCTGTTCAATTTTAGATGCATCATGATCGCTTTTTTGACAAGTTTCTCCATTATTTTACATGGGATTGAGGTAAGAGAGACTGGTCTGTAGTTTGCTGGATCGATTTGAGAGCCTTTTTTGAACAAAGGCGTTACATTTGCTTTAGACCACGAGCTTGGAATTTCACCATTGTCAAATGACTTTTGAAAGATAAGGGTAAGTGGAGTAGTCATGGAAGTAGAACATGAGCGTAGCACATAAGGACTGACACTGTCTACACCAAGCGATTTGGATGGATCAAGAGATGAGAGCTCCAGGAGAGTAGCCTGAGAGTCAAATGTTATGCTGTTGATGATTGAGTTAATTCGACGACTAAAGAAAGGAAGATTGTCATCAGATAGCTCTTTGCTGAAAACTGATTGAAATTGATTGTTAAGCGAGTTGGCTATTGTAACTTTGTCAGAGCTAATAATCTCACTGAAACTGGTAACCCGCATTGATGAGATCTGATTTATTACAGAGTGCTTACTATTTATGTATGAAAAAAGTCTTTTTGGGTTGCGCTTATCATTGGCCAGAGCAAGTTCCAAGGATTTCAGAGAAGACAGACTTAATTTTTTGTATTTGTTGAGCCAAAACTGGTAACGTTGTTCCACGTTTAAGTTTTTAAAGACAGATGACCAGTCAATTTTGTTGAATTCTTCATTGATTTTTTTGTAGTTGCCAAGCTTGTAAATGAATTTAGAACTGTTGAAATGTGACGATTTGTCACTAGAAGCCAGTTTGTATAGCCAAGTGATGGAGCAATAATACTGTTCAGACAAGCAGAGTGGAGGACCGGTATTGATTTCATTAGCACAATCAGAAGAGTCGCAAATGATGAGATCGAGAGTTTTTGTCATCGGACGATGAGCAGGTTTGAAAGTTGGGACAGTGATGATTTGATGTAGATAAAGATCTTGAACAAGAGAAATAAACAATGAACTGAGACCATATTGGGTAGAAGAGATAACAGAATTGGAAGTCCAAGTAATCTCTGGGAAATTGAAGTCACCAGCAATAATGATGCCATTGTATTTTTTGGTTAATATTGCTGTTTTGGCATGAAAGATAGCATTGGAAATTTCAGAGAAGGTTTTGGTACCAGAAAATGGAGGCCTGTAAATACAGCCTAAAAGCAGAGTTTCATTTGGAAGCTTTAGTTCAATCCACAGTTGTTCTGAATAGTAGCAAATGAAATCTTTGTATAGTTGGGAATCTTCAAGTTGGTTTGAGACGAGCTTGTTGTTTATGTAGATGGCTACACCTCCTCCGTTTCGGTTGAGGCGGTCTGATCGATAGAGGTTATAGTTTAAAAGAGTGGGAGTTGATTTTTCAGTAAACCATGTTTCAGTGATAAAAATAATATTGAAGAAATTGGTTTCTGCAAGTAAGGAGAGTTAAATCAGTTTTGATGGATTAAGAGAGGTGGCATAAGTGTAGAACCAGGAGAGATAAGGTAAATGAGTTGAAGAGTTTGCAGCATTGAGGGAGATTGAACTAGGATAATGCTGAGAGCGACTGAATGGCCTCAGCCGCTGATTTCCATATAAGGAATGGAAGAAATATATATATATATATATATATATATATATATATATATATATATATATATATATATATATATATATATATATATATATATATATATATATATTTATATATATATATATAAATATATATATAAATATATATATATATAAATATATATATAAATATATATATATATATATATATATATATATATATATTTATATATATATATATATAATGGAAGAAATATATATATATATATATATATATATATATATATATATATATATATATATATATATATATATATATATATATATATATATATATATATTATATATGTGTGTGTGTATTATAAAATAATATAATAAAATTATATATATATACGCATTTATATAAAATAACTAACAGATATGAAATTTTTAAAAAGTATAAAGGTATTTGAAATTGGGCGGACAAATAAAACAATTTCTTGTCAACCAAAGATGTGAAGGATATAAAATAGATAAAGTTATAAAATAACTGACAGTTTTAAATATACATATTTTGGATCAATTTTATTAACTTATTACCATAAAAAATTAAAATAAAAAATCTCACATAAATAATGCATTTTTCATATCGTATCTTCAAATTTTGTAGTAAAGAATTTTCTGTAAGTGGATCTAACAATATCATATCAGCAATACCAACAGCATTTTCTAATGATGCCATTACAATTCAATTTATTCAACTTTTTGTTAACCTGTCAAAATAAAAGTTTTGCTGCAACAAAAATACAATTATTTATGTATAAATTAGTCTATATTTAACATAAATAAATATAGTAATTTCTAAACAACAAAAATAATTATATATATATATATATATATATATATATATATATATATATATATATATATATATATATATATATATATATATATATATATATATATATATATATATATATATTATATATATATATGTATATATATACACACACTCCAATATGAGTAAATTACAAAAAACATTTAAATTATAGAAAGCATGTTTTATAAAATTCAATATAAAAGTTAATAATTTATGACAAAGCATTTTACTTATATTCAACACATTCAATAATTATAAAACAAATATTCAATATTAATTTTAGTAATCTCAACATTAAATTTAATCCTTAAGACATCAAAAGTAGAAAAACAATTATTTATTATAGTAAGTATAAAAACAGTCTGACAAATATTTCCACTTGAAACTATACAAAACTAAATAGAAAACTTAAATAAAACATATAGGCCCTTAAAAAAGTTTTAATAATATCTTCACAATAATTTTTATAATACTTTTTTTTGATAAAAAACAAACCTTTTTTTTTATTTATTAGAAAGCATCATTGCTACATTTCAATTCATATATTTTAATTACATCTAAATGCAAATGTTATATGCTATTAATTTTAACTACACTTTAGCATAGAATTATTTCTAATATAAATGTAATTAACACATGCACTATAAAGAGAACAATTATCAAAATCAAAACATTAATTTACTATTAAGTGTTTACACAAGAGTTCTTTATGAAAGACATTTATTTTGCTATTATAAATCAATGACAAATATGGAATTAAAAAGCAAATATTCTTTGATAGGGGGTGTAAACATTTAGAACTGTACAAATATTATGATATCATTACACTTAATATAGGTAATTGTTAAAAATGTCAGCACTAGCCCACAGTTTTTTAAATCATTAAAAACAAAAAATAATTTTGTAAAAAAAGAAGTTGGTGTGGGCACAGTTAAAAAAGTTATGAAATCACCTTTTTCATTTAAAGATGCTAACCTATTGCACTTAAATTGATAAAATTTATTTCAATGTATACAATATATATATATATATATATATATATATATATATATATACATATATATATATATATATATATATATATATATATATATATATATATATATATATATATATATATATATATATATATATATATATATATATATTAAGTATGAAAGTTAAATAAAAATATTTTTTGTTTTGTACAAAAAGATATTTTTAAATTTGTTTTTATTTGTTTTAGTTCAACAATGTTAAATCTATAACATCTACATATAAACAGAACATGCATTGATAAATAAATTATGCATTTAAATATTCAAATTGCAAATCATCAAAATCAATTTTAAATAGATAAACAAAATGTTTTTATAAAAATATTTTTGTGTTTTGAACTGAAAAATGTTCAAAAATAAATTAAAGATAGCAATTACTGAACATTTGAAAAAAAAATTTGGCATATCATATTTCAAATGAACTTCTTTTAATCATAAGCAACAGTGTACAGTTTTAACCATTCAAAAACACTCATGAGCATGCTGTGAAAGTTGGTTTAAATGTACAGTAGCATGCTGGGGTAGATATACAGTATCTGCAAAATATAGTAGTACGCTAGGGTTTTCAATGATATATTAAAAAAAATTAGCTCATTTTTTAAAAAAAAAAAAAAAAAAAAATCTAACAAACTAATTTTTTAAAAGAAAGTTCGCGGATTTTTCGAAGGATTTTTCATATTTCGATATTTCCAACTTAAATAAATGGTGATACTCTAAAAAAAAATATAAATAAAAAAAAAAAAAAAAATCTTGACTATCATTAAAGCATAAATAATTTCTTAAATAAAGTTACCATTAAAAGTGAAACAAACAATCCCACTCCACCAATAGATTGACAAAAAGTTATAAACCAATCATTTTCAATAAGGGAAAGGCAACTTAGACAACCTGATATATCTTGGTAACATTTTAACTAAAATATTAAACAAAAAAATTAGTAACCATTAGATTATTAAATAATTCTTGCTCATAGTAAATTTTTAGCACTAAAAAAAAAAATTAAATTAATTAAAAGATGCCATTATATATATATATATATATATATATATATATATATATATATATATATATATATATATATATATATATATATATATATATATATATATATACATTGTTTCACTCTCTCTATCTCTGTTTGTCAAGGTTCGTGTTTCAAAGTTATAGAGTTGAGAGAGGGTTATAACCACTATTAAGTAGCCTCCTCGTCTGTAGTGGCCTACTTGGCCTTGAGGAGGTGAATAACATTCATTTTGTCAATAAATAAACAGTGGTTGGTTGTCTCCTAAGATGAGCTTTACCAAAAGACAATCTGAGCTGTTTTATTGGCACCTACTTTGACCCTATTTTTTTCATAATTTTTTTTTTCTTTTTTTTGAAAAACAAAATAAAACCAGTAAATATAAAATATTAGGTATTTCAATTTTTGATCATTTAGAACAGGCAGCCAATCTTGAATCTGATCTCACTCCTGTGGCTTGCAGCTAGGAAGTGACCGGGGCCCCAGCCCTGGCCATAGCTAAAAATGAGACTTTTTGTAAACTCGGCCCCAGGAAAATTATAAGATTTAGCAGGGGTTGATAGCCAGGGCTAGAAAAAAATTTATAATACTTTATATATTATAATTTTATACTTACATTTACTATTTATCAAATACTAGCATACATTTATATATTTTTAAACTCTAATTTACTTGCAACAAGGTTGCAAACAAGCACTATTAAATTACAAGTTACTTTAAAATAGAGGATAAAGTTAAAAAGCTAGGAAATGGTTAACTGAATTATGAAATGTTTAATTGATTATACTTTTTGCAGTAAATTAATGAGTTTTGTTGTCTAATAAAAAATTTGGATTTTAAGTCCAGACTTGAAAAATTTTAAAAATAAATAGTAATTTATTTTTTTATTTTCCTATTATATAAGTATTGAGAAAAAAACATCAAATACAGTATTGTGAAAAATTTAAGAACCACCAAAAAACAAATCATAATTTATTTTTACTTTTAAATTTTTATTTAGTCAAATATATTTTTCTGGTAAAAAAAAAATTATTATTATAAATTTTAGAAAATAGACAAACATTACAAAAAATAATAATAATGCCAAAGACTTTTAAACAAATAGAAAAAATGTATTTAAAGTTTTGTAGGTAATTTTTATTTTAAAAAAATTGTGAAAAAGTTAAGAACCACAGAGCAAAAAACGTTGATATTCATCTCATCACTCAACATTACTGTCCTCCATTTTTCTTTAGACCATTCTTTGGCAAAATTCTTTTTGCTTTTTTATATGTTGTTTGGTAAGTTGCAGTTTTAAAACAGATTTTTTCCATAGCATATTGTTAGCTATTAGTTTCCTACTCACAAGTGATGCCGATGCTTGACGCCCATTTGAAAGCTTCCATTCCCTTCTTAATTCATGCGACGGTATGGTTCGATTTTTCTTTGCCAACCTGATTAAAAGGCGATCAATAGATGTCGTCAAACGAGGTCTTCCAGAACGATGGCGATCAACGCAAGAATTCGTCTCTCTGAATCTTTTGATGATTGTTAGCATTGAACTGTGTGATCTTTTTATTATTTTTCCAATTTCATGAGGGGTTTTACCTTCCTGGTGAAAATGCAATACTTTTACACAATCTTCATAGGTAATAGCTTTTCTGCTCATTTTTTCAATAGAAAAGAATTTTTTTCGTTTGAAATTTAATACTTTTTTTTTAACACTTTTGGCTTTTTGGTAATGACTCAGGTCATAAATAGAATATTTAAATAAAAAGGTAAAAAATCAATTAAAAAAAGTCGTTTTCACCTTATTTAGCACAAAAAATTCTTTGTGGTTTTTAACTTTTTCACAAAAAAAAAAATTTTTAATTTAACACATAATATTTAATTCTTATTTTTATAGGTTCTATTAATTAATTTTCAAAAAAAAAAAATCTTTTTTCTCATGTTCTATTTAATGTTTGAAAAAAAAAGCCTATTTTATAATCTTTAGAACAAAAATTAATTAATTTTATTTGAAAAAAATATTTTTTTGTATTTAGTGGTTCTTAACTTTTTCACAATACTGTATAGCAAAAACATTTAAAAAGCAAAAAGACGACAAAACGAATAAACGTAAGAAAACTTAAGAAAATTAACAAAACCTCTCATAGTTCTTGCGTACATAGCCAATTAGTTTCTTAATTATATGGACTGATAAAAATTGTGAATAAATTGCATATAAACTCTCAATTCTTGTTAAATTTTTATAAAACATAATATGTTTAATTTTTTATCAACTAGTATCAAATTCGGTAGCTAAAAACAACAACCACTCTATAAAAAAAGAATACATAAGTTTTATAAAAATTTTATAAAAAAAATTTTTTTTTTATAATTTTCTTTTTTAAATTATTAAATTTTCTAGTTTATTTAATTACACCTTGATATTTCATTACAATTTTGTTTCCTTCTTTTAGGATTGTTTTTTTTTTCTCAGTAAAAAAGTTTAGCTTTTTGTCGCAAATTATTGAAACGACTTATAAGTTAAAAGATGCAAACTGCCATGGTCAAATTCAACTCCGGTCAAATTTCAACCCCGGTTACTTACTACTTGCAGTGGCTTGTAAATTTTAGCTCCAACAAAACTCAGTTATTTATTGCAAACAACTATCGTTGAGTTTAACTGAGTTTCTTTTTTATGCCTTCTTAGATTATCGTTCACTACTGACCTCTCATATTAACCATATATAATCAATTACTAAGTTAGCATTTGCTAAGGTTGCTTCTTTTTACCGTTTTACAGGCTCACCATTTTTTTACTCCTGATTACATTCTCTACCTCTACAAATCTCTTATTCATCCCTGTATGGAATACTATTGTTATATTTGGACTGGTTCTTCTAATGATGCTCTTTTTCTTCTAGACAAGGTCGAAAAACGCATTGTAAACATAATTGGACCTGCTCTATCTGCCAAGCTTGAGCCTTTCTCTCATCGTCATAAAGATGCATTTCTTTCTCTATTCTGCACAATACTATAATAGCCACTGTTCAAAGAAGCTATCATCTCTAATTCATTAACCAAAATTCATTCTCACTTGACTTGTCATTCAGTTAAGTCTCATCCTTTTACTGTATTTCCCTGCGTACTTTAAAAACTTTTATTTGTCTAGTTTTTTTTCAGGCACTTCAACCCTTTGGAACTCTCTCCCATCTTCATGTATTCCTGACTCATACAATCTACAACTTTTTAAGTCTTCTACTGTTTCTTTGCTCTAACTCTATTCTTTATTTTCTAGTAATTCCTAACTTAATTATGGTTGCTTGAAGAATTGTTGGGACAGAAATCTGAATTTTCAAAAAAAAAAAAAAAAATTAAAAACGTACATCAGAACAACCTGCATCATCAATAACTGTTTTATTATGAACACCTTCATAAAAACCACAGCAGTTTCCTAATTTTTGTATATCAGATTTAGTAAAGTTTGAAAGCTGGCTCCAACCATGAGTAAGAACAGAGTGTTTTTGTGATTTATTAACAGACAATGCAATTATTGAAAATGCGAACATTATCAAGCAAATTAGTCCTAAAATTATTATATACTATGATTTAGTCAAAGAAAACATAAGCACAAATGCAAACTTTATAACTTAAACTACAGACAATATTTTTTTTGTTTCATAAAATTAGAAAATAAGATTTTTTTTTGTTTGATAGCATAAAAAACTATTGTGACATTTTAATTTACTATTTTTTGCAACTGGATGCTAGAAAGGGTAAAAACTTAGTTGCAAAAAAACAACATTATGAAAACTATCATAACCACACAAGCCTGAAGCTATGATTGGTATGATATCTATAGCTGCATTTAAAAATTTATTATAATTTGGATTATACAAGTATAATTCAATTATGAGATAACATATCAAATAACAAACATAATACAAAAATCTGTAATTTTAAAATTTAAGCTTTAAAAATTTGAAAAGATACAAAAAAAAGTGTTATTTGATGTTGTTTTGCTGAGCCCTGAAGACCACAAAAAGCCAATAAAATCAAAATTACTCCTATTCCAATAATCCCACCATTTATAGGCCAGCTTTTTAAAACTTTATTCACTGTGAAGTAAACATGTAGTGTTGCAAGAAGCAACCCAAATAACTAAATTTAAATTAAAAAGAAATGACTCAACATTATAATAACAATGAAATAAAAAGAATTTACCAAACATTATGTTGATAATGAAATAAAAATAGGACAATAATGGTCCTAATAAAAAAAAGTAGAAGAATTACACTTTTAACAGTGTTTTTCAACCATTTTATCAGCATTACTTTTATTAAGCAATTGCATTAACATATTGAGAATTTTACTCCATAATATATTTTAATTTATTAGTGTTTTGAGCCTTTTTTTAAATATCATTATTTCTTGATTCTGTAAAACAGTTTAACTTTAGAGAGAGTATCCAGGGGTTTAAGTAGAAAAAATAATTATAAAAAAAATTTAAAAATTAATAATAATAATAATAATAATAATAATGATAATAATAGCAATAATGAGAATATAATAATAATAATAAAAATAGAGGAATATATATTTAATCAAGAAGTACAGCATCAAACTCTTTATTAAATTATTTAATACAGTTTATATGAATCTAATGTTTATGCTATAATAACTTAAACAATTACTAAATTATTATAGTGATTTTACAGATGTATAAGTGTATAAGTGTATAAACTTAATGTATAGCTGTATAAGTGCAAACTAATATTAAAGATTTAATTAAAAAAAAAAAGATAAACGTCCACATTAATTATTTATTCATTATTTATTACTTAATAGATGTAAAAAGAAAGAATTTAAAAATTTAAATTGAAAGAATCTTTTGAAAAAAGTATTAAATAACAACAACAAAAAAACGTCAATAAATATAAAGACAACAGATACTAATTTTTGATACTAGATCAATATTAAACATGAATTACAAAAAAAATATTGAATAAAAAATATTAAACATGAATTACAAAAAAATATTGAATAAAAAATATTAGCAGTGTTGATGGGTTAAATAAATATTATTTAATGGCTAAAGGTTTTTAGCCATTAAATTTTTTTTGAAAAGAATTCTTTTTTTTTTTTTTTAAGTTTTTTTTTTTTTTTATATGATGATGGAATGGCTGCAAGGAAAACTAAGGGAAGCAAAACAATTTTGTGGATTCTTGGCTTGTTTTAACCCCTGAAAGTTTTATTGTTCAAATAAAACCATCTGTGTGCATAAAACAAAAATTAACTGATGATATTGATTTTTAATCTTAAATTATTCTCAATTTGTTTTAACTTACCAACAGTAAACCATTAAACCCAATGAGGAATCTTTTCAAGCAATGAAAAGTGTAACATTTTAAATGCATCATTGCCGTCTATATTTCCTCTTCTAATCTAAATAAATATAACAAATAATAAAGTAAATAGTAATAAGTAAAGTAATAATAGCAATAAGGAAAAGATTGAACATCTAAAAAATAGAACTAATTAGTTAGAAAAAAATTTTTTTTTTTAAAAACTCTTAATTTGGAATATGGTATTAATTGCAATAGGTATATAAAATTTTCTGCATTATTAACTGTTAATTGTAATAAAATCAATTAAAAAATGACTTAAATAATGGCAGAATTAACACCAGTTTCTAAAAAGTTATTAATTTTGTAAAAATACTACATTTGTTCAATATTTAGAATGTTGTGTTTTAAAAATTTGAAAAAGAAAACTGGGAAATTTTGTGGGAAATGTCATCTTTTTGTACTTTTATGTACAAAAAGATGACATTTCCCACAAAATCTCCACAAAAAATTTTAATTATGCACAGATACTATCAAATTTCATGTATCAGATACTGATACATGAAATTTGTTGAATGAATGCAAAATACAATAACAACCTATATAGCTTATATTGATAATTTAGAAAATTTCTAATAAATGATATTAAGCAAATTTTATGTAACAGAACAAACTTTGTTAACTAGTTGCCAAACAGAAAAACAATCATTTGATATAAAATTTTTTATATTATTGTTTGCGTCAGCTTTTTTCAGTCTTAAACATTAGTTTGAAATTGTTTATATCTTTCATTAATATCATAATATTATTATTAGCGAAACATTTCTAATGCAATTTTAGTTCAGCTTTAAAAGACTTTAGTACAACTTTTTCATATATTTATATCTTTTGACAGAGATGCCGTTTAACAAATATTTTATTTAAGCATTAAGCAAATATAGTTAAATATAATCGTATATTATCATATATAAATATAGTCGTCGTGTCTTCTACAATTACACTAAACCTCGTCCATCATCAATACACACTATGTACACATGTAGTTCAAACATATCATCCAAAATAGCATCATCACATTTTTTTTCTTTTGGGTTATTTTTTGTTTTTAAGTTATATTATTAAAAAAATTTCTTTCAGAACAACATTATTTAATTATTTTTATTTCTACTTTGTAACACGGCTGTTTGATACAATGTAAAACTTTAACAAGCGAATTATAAAAAAAAAATAATAATTTTCGCATAAATACTTATTAACTTAAAAACTTTTTTTAATAAACGTTTTCATCTTTAAATAAAAAGAATATAAAAGATTTTTTTTTTTTTTTTTTAATATTTAATATTCGTTTTACGATATAAAAAAAAGTATCGCTAAAATAATGCTAAAGAATTTGATCACTTTTCTTTTATTGCGATATTAAAATTCACGCTTGTTAAATGTTAATAATTGATAAAAAATTAATACGATCACTTTTCCACGAGTGTGTAATTTATCCAATTTTTGGTGGATATGATTTTTTTTACAAAACGTTAGGAAACACAACAATTCTGCGACTGCGAATTTGGAGTTTAAAAAAAGTATAGAAGACTAAATGACGTATTATAAGTCCATAAATAATAAGACAACTTCCTTTTTAAATACTATGCAGTATTCTGTGCCAATTCTCCTTAGACTCAAAAACCATCTCAAAATTAAAAGCTTCAGGACGTCGCACTATATATATATATATATATATATATATATATATATATATATATATATATATATATATATATATATATATATATATATATATATATATATATATATATATATATATATATATATATATATATATATATATATATATATATACAGCATTTTCCATCTCGAAAATGGTTTTTAACGAAAATCGTATCTCAGTGCCTGATCAAGGCAAGGAGGGGGGCTAGGGCTATAGCCCCGGGCCCGCAAATGTCGGGGCCCCTCAAAATTTTAGAGGACCTTATTTTTTTTTTAGTCATTTTTAGACTCTGGCCCATAAAAAGGCCTCCAAAAACAAAAATAGCCCCAGGCCCCATGAAGTCTTAATCCGCCACTGTCGTAAATCCATTGATTTCTTTATGGTTTTTATACTCTCAAAGCATGGAACTTACGAATAAATCCCAAAAAAACTTTAATAAATTAGTTTTACGTTTATAAAACGAACCTCAAACATTGGGTATAAATATTTTCATGCCAATTAAATTACCGTTAAGGAAATTCAACTCAAAATTATTAGAAATTTTTCCAAGGAAGCATGTATGCGTTATTTGATAGCTTAGAATGTACACTTTGCAATTAAATTACCGTTAAGGAAGTTCAACACAAAATTATTAGAAAGTTTTCCAAGGAAGCATGTATGCGTTATTTGATAGCTTAGAATGTACACTTTGCAACCACGTTTCTCAATTGGAGTTTTCCTTGTTGCCAAAAGCTGCCAGTGTCAAGTTAACTACTATTAGAGACTTTACCTATTCAGTAATATGAAGATTAAAAAAAACTTGCGCGATTTTTGCGCTAGTGGTGGTTTTGAAGTTATATCGTCAATAGGTGGTAAAAATAAAAATAAAATCCCTAAAAATTACAGTTCTTCCTTTTATTATGAAATATTATATTTAATTATTATATTTTGATGTGTATCTTATTTGTTTCTTTTTCATTTCTATGATAGAAGCATATATTAACAAATTAATAGACTACTAATATATTTGAAAGAACCAATGACACTTAAGTTTGTGGTGATCACTTTAACCACCAGTATAATAGACTATATTGCTGCGGAAGTTCTATTTATCTGTTGTAGTAATTAATTATATTCAGATTCTTCTTTTCAATAACAATTAACAGACAAAAAACATATATTATCTAACAATGAGTGAATTTGTGAGTAAATAAAAATTTAAAATATATATAAGTTTTGTATTACCTTCGTATCAAATACTAAGTGAAGCAAAAAAGGAAAATGAAAATGTGTTGAAATACGGATTGTCGACACTATGCGCATGGTTAAGATTTATGGAGATGACCCTCCATATTTCTTAAAATTTAAGTTTTGAGAAGTGGTCAGCAACAACTCCAGAAAACAAGCAACTTAAAGAAGACAAGAAAAAATGTCTAAAAACGTTTCCGAGTGTTTGGTTTGCACATTGATAAACCACGTCTAGGTTTCGGTAGTAGCAAATTGGTAATAGCAAGCAGATTTTTCGAAAATTATCAATGTTCTGCAGAGATAACCGGAATCAATTAAGAAGTAATCAAGAGATTATATGTAATTCTTCAAACTATGTCATCGGGATTTCCGATAAATGCAGAAAAATTCGGCCAGTACATTTATAACTTCGCAATTAAATGTAAGCAAATAAAACTGGTATCTTCGATCCATAAAGTCTACATGGTGCTAAAATAATAGAACATTATGCAGTTTTGCATATTGGACAACTATTCGAGGGTGCTCAGGAAACCCGAAAAAAAGAAATATAGGTTACATCACGTTTCAAACTTATTTAAAGCAAACGTTTAACTTTTATTGCTACTTTAATATAATTGTATAACTTTTTGTATGAAATTTCGTATAACTTTATTTTAGTTATTTTTATAAAAAATGTACAATTTTTAAAATGATGATGTTTGATTTTTTTTTGCCTAGATATTCACAAATACGTGAAATTATTTCAAGAAGAAAAATCACATTACAACAAAGTTATTGATTTTGGTTGATTTCATAGTGCGTCAATTAACAAAGTTTTGTAAAAATAATAGACCTATATAATGGGTATCAATTATACGTAATGATACGTAAATGACGATCTTGGCATTAAATTCAAACTTTTACTAAACGCTACCAGTCACGTGCCCACAGTGGGCCAGGTAATGTAAAAAACTGTTTTTTCTAGTGTAACAATATCAGAAATTTTGTTATATAAATTGCTATAAATTATATATTAACTGTATTATTTTTACATAAGTTTAGGTTTAGTATCACATTGATTGCGATACTAAACCTAAACTTAAGCGTATTGGTTGTTCTTTTAATGGCACATCTGGCAAAAGATGTTCAGATAGTGTTGAGAGTGTTAAACCATTTGTAGCACATTTTCCGGGAGTAAATCTGGCTTTGGAAAATTTTCTCCAGTTTCACCTTACTCCAAAAACAAGAAAAAAAAAATTAATGGAGCAAGTTGTTTTATCAGTACCTTTACCTCACGGTCGTTTAGATATTAGTAAAAAGCGCTATGTTTAGGTACGCATGCGTAAGAAAAAAAAAACTTTTGAACTTTTAAAATGGCTACGGTACTTAACTACAGAGAGAATATTCTATACTAGCAGTAAGCAACCCGTAATACGCGTTGTTAGTAAATAAAATTAAAAAAAAAAACCGCGTATAGAAAAGCCTAGAAACTACTTTAAAATAGAAAAGCCTAGAAAATGACGTAACTCGACTAATATTAAATTAGCGTATTCATATTATCAGATGGCAATAGATTATTTGTTAATTAATTTCTAAAAAGCCAATGATGTAGCCTTATGTTTAACGTAAATCAATATAAAAATACAAAAATTTCACAAAAAATATAAACAAATAGAGGTAACAAAAATCTTTGCGCGTTTAAACTTTATTTTTAATTAATACCTTTTTAATGTAAATCATAGATTTGTTTATTTATTTGAAATCAATTTTCTAAAAATCTGACTGTAGGATTTCAATAATTTTTTTTTTAAACTTCAGATAAGTATGTTCTTTATGTATGATATTTTTCTGGTCAATGCTTCAACTTTTTTTCCATATAAAAATTTGTTTTCACTGTTATGACTATTTCCTAATATATCAAAGTGCAATTTCATTTCAAGACCCAACATGGGAAACAGTTTCCCACAATAAAACAGATTTTAGAGTGAAAAAACGTTTTTTTGATTCTCAGAAGTTCAGTTCTGAATAGTTTTAAAAAATCTTTAACCGTTAACAAAGGCAAATGTAACATTTCATCTCTCATACATGGGTCCAAAAATTCTTTAATGTAAAATTTTCGAGATCCAAGTTATGAACTTTTTTTTTTAGAACAAACGGTTACCTGCGGACATTTGGGA